AGTGCTTCTCTTTTTTTTTTTTTTTTTAAGCTTTCTTTGCAAGGGTCTCTTTCATGGTGCCAGGATCGGAATAACTGGCAAAACTGTATTGGTCATTGAGCTCCCTTGTGTCCTCTGGATCCACAGATTTTGAATAAGTGATTTCCTTTCTTTGCTCTTCGGTGTGTGTAGTTGAGTCAGGATTGTACTGAGGAAGGCAGCATCACTACTTGTAAATCCACATTCCCTCAAAGGCTCCTTGACTCACGGATTGAGTACCTGTTGCTGAGAGAGGATTTAATTAAGGAACTGGTCACTCTGGTGTAGGTCCTGGCTGGCAGTTTAGAAAGTGGGAGCTCCTTGATCTGTTGTGGTAGTACACAAGCGTTGCAAGGATTGCAGAGGAGTAAAGCCATTTATTTCTTGGTCTTGCATCACGGCCTTGACTTCGACCATGTGTGTGGAAGCCTCTTGAAGAAATGCCAATAAACCTAGGCTTTCATTGAGCTTTGGTCATTAGCTGGCAAACCTTTGCTGGAACTTTAGCAGAGTCTTCATCAGAGGTCAGCGATGAAGTGCTAGAGCAGTGGGCTTCAAGAGGGATCACCAAGTGGTGTCTGGAATGGAAAAATTGAGAGTTCAGTTCTCTTAGCTGCTTTGAAGCTGATCAGTGATGTTCAAGGCAGAATGGGGTAGCAGAGTGTATTTATTGCTTTGAAACCATAGCAAAACACACAGCTTCCTTTTTTTTCCTCTCCTTGACAGAGACCTGTAAGTTGGTTCTTCAGGATGTTCCCTCTTTTCTGTGCCTGTTCATCCAGAGGTCTTGTCTTCTAATCACAGCAGCTAAAGGCTAAGGATAGGGTTTTTTGTGGTTTTTTTCTCCCAGAAGCCAAAGTGAGTCCACAGAAGAGATGGACTGTTCTGACTCAAGGATTTTTCGATTTTTTAAGACAGCACTTTTGCTGGTAAACCAGCATGTCTGTTGATGGTGTGATGCTGATTGAGGATCTGAATCTCTTTTTTTCCCCCGAACAAAGACATTTTATAATTTGTCATCTTTGAGGGAAAGAAAATACAGTTTTTTAGGCAGGCTGCTGCTTAGGAGTGTTGGGTCCTGGGCCTGAATCATGCCCCCTGTTGCCCCTGCTCTTCATCCTCCATGAAGTTTGGCAGTCGGTTCTCTCTCCAAGTCTGTTTTCTGCCATGTCTTGTCTTTGTGTTCCTTGTTGGTCAGGGCAGGTAGTTTCTTGTAAGCTGATCGCTCTCGTGTTCTGGCCTTGTGACCCTCTCCTTGATAGCCACATCTGCCAGGGCTGCCTGAGTGTTTTCAACCCACTGATGCGGATGTGTTGGACGTCGGGAGCAGCTTCGTCTCCGGAAGCGTCACTGGACTGGCCAAGCCACTTAAGGCTGCAGGAAATAACATAATTAATGAGACTTAGTTCTCTCACATCTTGTACCTGACAATCTCAAGTCACTTGACAATGCTAATTAAAGCTAATCACACTCCTCTGTTTTTAGTAAATAGCTATTATCCCTGCTTCACTCTTGCTTTAACAAATGATAGTGCCAGGCAATGTGAGTCACTGGAAGTTATGGCATTGCGACCGTAAGAGCTGCCTTCCGGTCCCTTCGCGCAGGCGTACACGTAGGGATTGTTTCTTTTACACCTGTTCAAGTGTTGGTATGGTGTGTTAAAAGGTGTCATGTGACTTAGTAAAATACGTAGCTTTTTTTTTTTTTTTTTTTTTTTTACTGCCATTGTGTCTTGTACAGAACTAAACTTTCGAGGTCGAGCAAAGGCTATTAAAAGTTTCAAAAGCTGAGGATGCTTTGAATTTGCCCTTCTGAGAACTTTTTGATCCTCTGAGAGGGAAGGCAGAGTGGTGTCAAAGCCGCACTCTCACTTCTCCTGTTTCACATTGGCAGTGACTTCGTTACGAGGACAAAAATGTAGTGTGGTATGACCTAGACGTTGCATAGCTCAGCCACAGAACTCTGGAATATTGAAGTTTCACTGGTGAAATATTGCTAAAGGATGGCTCAGCAATGTGTTATTAAAAACGGATTGTCCAACATCACAAAAAAAAGTTGGAGTTAATAATTAACTGTGGAGGGAAAAAAAAAAAATTTAATGAGAATCGCAGGAACTCCCAGCTCAAGCATGCGTCAGTAGGCACAGAACTGCAAGAGGTGAGTCAGTTCACATACCTTGGCAGTAACATGCAGGCTAGTGAGGATATCCAGGAGGAACTAATGACAGAAACTGGCAAGGTAACAGCTGACTTGACCCATCTTAAACTAGATTCAGTTATAAAGTGTCTGTCATGCGAAGATTCGAGCTATAAATCTTCACCTGACTTTGCCCCCTTGACATATGGGTTGCTAAATGAAAGCTGGAAGGGTGATGACTCACCTGCCATGGCACGTATGTACCTCGTTAATATAGTAACTGTTGCATAAAAAGCGTTACTGGCAGAGATGGGTCAGAATTCAACACCTCATCCTTAGCTTTACTCAGAAAAAGAGACAGATGGACCAGAGTAGAAAATGAAGTCACTGTCTCTCTCCCCTGACAGATGTGCTCCTGGGCAGCACAAGGCTAGTTAAAAGATGCTCCTGGGAAGAACCCTCTGAGCAGATGATTTTGTGAGCAGATGAAAACTTACAGGATTTGACAAGGGGAGCTCGCAAATAGTAAGTCATGACAGGCAGCTGTGGCAGATCTTTTCTTTCAACTACAAATGACTTTGAGGATATTGGAAGGATACTTGCAATAGATCAATGTTCTCGCCGTGTTCCCTGTCACTACCCAGCCTTTATCAGGGAAACGGATGATCCATCCGGCAAACCAAATTAATTGAATCCTAGTCATACCTGCATTTGCCAAAAAGGAAGATAATAGAGCAGTGTAAGGAGCACAAAAGAAACATGATATAAGATGATTTGGATTGCTAGACTGGGCTACAATTAAAACGAGGAAGTGAAGTTGGGAAGATAAAGAGCGTTTCTGTGTTGCCAGGAATTGGTTGTTGGATGGGAAGAGCTTCTCCTTGATGTCTTTAGTTGGGGTTGGTACTGGAACAGCAAGGTGAGGGTCTTTCATCTGTAGAACGCTGTGCGTGCGTAAGACGGGATGATGTCCCTGACAGGATGATGTCCTGGTCTGTGGCTCCACGTCTGACCTATTGCATTGAACATGTAGCAGAAGGATGGGTATGCACTGAAGAGCTGCATCTTGCAGCGTGTTTGAGCCGTTGCTGTTCTCTCACTCGAGTGCATCATATCTACTTGGCCGACTCAGATGAGGGACCGTTAGCCCCTTGCGGGGGATGCTGGCAGGAGTTTTTGCGAAATGTAAAGGAGGAAATGGAGTCATTTGTGTTTTAAATTAGTTCAGCTTGCAGTTTTTGTTTATTTGTGGCACAAGTGGGATTTGCTGGTAGGAGCAAAAGTGCGTGCTGGCTTGTTTCAGATTTCTCCTGGCCAGCTGTGATGTTTTTCTGCCTGTAGGTCTCCTCCTGCTTTGGGTCACGCACGCTGGCATCTATTGTAACTGGGTTTTGAATTCAGCTGTGATGGAGCATACCTGCAAAACAAAGGTGGGCAGCTTGCAGCTATAATGCTCACCATGCTGCCTGTTATCAGCGGCGCAGGCTCTTCTGCATTGCAAAGATATTGCTGCCAGGCAACTCGGAGGAGAGTGGGAAGAGAATTCAGCCAGAGGTGTCAGTTATTCCTCAGCAGAGGCTGAATCTTGCAGTCCGTGTTCACCGGGTTTCAGAAACAGCCCAGAGAAGGTAACAGATTTTGAAGCCAGCCTTGTGAGATGATGCCTGTCCTAGCTGTCCTGTGCCTTTTTGAGATGAAATTGTAAAGGGAACAATTTGATTAACATTTCCAGAATGATTTCTCATCGCTGCTTCCCAGTGGTGTCTGTGGTGCCTCTGGGTTGTTTTGAACAGTGTGTTTTGTTCTGAATTGCGGGGAGAGATGAGTTGGTGCTTCTGACGCTGAGTGGTCCGAGTCCAGCCTTAGATCTGTAAATGAAATCAGAAAGTTCTCATGGTTGTCTGGGCTCTGCAGACAGGAAAGAGGCATCTCGGCACCATCTTCCCTGAGTTACTTTAACCTGTTCCTTCACTTTCCAGTCAGTTGTGTGCTGTAGTTCAAGACAAGAAATTTTTTTTGTTTGAAGGCAGGAGTCCTCTGGACTTGCTTCTCACCACATGGTTGCACTTGAGAACCTGAAAATGTGCTGGTGTGGGTGTTACCTATTTAAAAAATAGTAAGCGAAACTTTTAAATTTACTCTCCAAATTGACAGAAGGTAAATCAACTGTGTAAAGAACATTTTTTTTTTTTTTAAATGACTTTTTTTTTTTTAATAAGTTATGGATTAATAGGGTATACAGTGACAAAGCTAGACAGACTTAAAAAAAATTCCAATGCAAAGTGAGTTTTAAAAATCTGGTGCTTTTAAGTTTCAACTCATTTTTATGTACCTTCCATGTAATTTTCATGGAAAGCCTCTCCATCAGAGGGCGACCAGAAATTTCGTTGTAGGGATGCTGAATCTATTTTTGATGAGAATATTTGTGATAGACCGTGGACTGACATATTGCCTTTTTTTTTTTTTTTTTAAAAAAAAACCAACCCAACCTTTAAAAAGCAATTAATCTAACTGCAATGACAGTTTTGACAGGTTTAGTATTGACAGCTATTGAGCAGAATAACAATTCCGGTGTTTTTCCTGGCAGGCTGCGATATGTGGAGCACGGCAGGTGCAACACGGTTGGCGTTGTGCCTGTCCCTGATTCACTATGGCCAGATAGTCTTTAATTGCTTCTTGCTGAAGCTCTTTTTGATGCCCTCTAGTGGTTACCTGGCAATTGTCTGCGGTACTGTTTGTCATCAGTATATCCATCCATCCATCCATCCATCCATCCATCCATCCATCCATCCATCCGCATCCTTCTTCTCAGAATCACAGAGTGCTTCCCGGCGGTGAAGGGTGCTGTCTCCAGTCTGCAGAAGAGAGAACTAGTGCCCACAGAAATGAAGCGGCTTGCTAGGAGATAACCAGAGGAATGAAGGGGGTTAAATATGTTTCTAGTTGAAGGCAGTCTGAATGAGAAACCTACCCCATGCTATTATTTGTATTGCACTTGTGTCCATTTATCTGATAAAAGTAAATGCAGAGGCTTCCTTCTGGCCGTCTTCCACCATTTCACTTGTTATTTTCCTGTCACCAAGGGCTCGCGAGGTTTTGAGAATGAGCTGAAGGAGCACAGGCGTTGGCGGAGGACACGGTTCATGTATCAGTAAGGACTTTTGATGGTCGTGCTAGTTCTGCTGAGCTGAATGCAGTGTCATCTCATCAAGTGTTTGAAATCGGTGCGTTTCAGAAACTTGATACTGAAGGAGTAAAGGTACATTGTGTATACCCATATGCTATTTAAACTCCTTTCTTGGCTTTCCCTTGTGTTCCACGTTTAAATTCAGAACGGTTTCTTTCAGGGCCTTTCACAATGTACGTCCTGCCCTCCTACCTTCAGTTGATCTGGCTTCATCTTTTCCAAAGCTGTTTCAGTCCTTTGTGGCAGTGAGGATCTCCAGAGCTGCCCCAAACCAGGATCTTTTATTGCAGTACTACATCATCAGAGTATCAAAGCTCCTGAGCAGTGCCTGGTGTCTCTGAGGGTTTAGCACCTGAAATTCTGACAGTAATTTTTATTCCATAGGGAAGACTGGCAAAACTGGGCATTAAACCCAGACCTTAGAGACTAGCCTTCCTTTTTCAAACTGCAATGAGTTAAGCAACATTAAGGCCGTTTCTATGTCAAGAAAAACCTGGTAAGTAAGCGTGCTTAACCTTAAGCATTTTCTTAGATTCATGCTAAGACCCTGGAGCAATGCAGTCTGCTACAGTTTGTGATCTTGTAGAAACAGAAAACTCCAAACCCAATTCCTCTTGTGCTTTCATTGCACTCAGCATAAGTACATCTCTAGCTCTTTCTATATTAATGAGACACCAAAGAAGAAAGGTTTGGTTTCTAAAGAGGTGATTTTTTTCAGAGCTACTACAGGCAGCTTTCTATAATGGACTAAAGTGTATCTTAAAAATCAAATAATCCATAAAACAAACCCTCAGACCCAACAAACCTGTTGTTTGTCCTGCCGGAGTAAACAGGGACATTTGCATCTGAGCTGCATTGCACATGGGTTTTGTGCAAAATTAGACCTGTGTGTGATAGTTTTTTTCTCTGGCATTGTGGCATATGGACTCGTACAAGCAGTAGCCTTGTCTAGCAAGTGTTTGGCACAGACTTGGCATTCCTTCTTTTCTGTGTTTCCTGAACTGCGAACAGCTTCATGTGAAAAGTGGCTGTTGGACAGGTGGCGGGTGAATACTGAACCAAAAAGTTGTTTGAACAGCGAAATGTGGTTTTTCCTTCACGGAGGTGGCATCTGCTTAAAACTTAGCAGGATTAAGCAGGGCAGCCCTAACATACACAGTGCTTGCAAGCAGTACATTCAGCTGATTCTCTCACTGATAACTACAATAAATGATGTTGATAAGCTTTTTCCCTAGAATTCTTTCCTTTTGTCTAAACCAGTTTTCTGACTTGTTGTGAATTAATTAGTATGCACAATTTCTGTGCCATCAATTTGAGTGTGTTCATCCCAGAGATAAATCTCTGTTAAAGAATGATAAAAGAAAAATAGTGAATTATGTTGGTGGTGACAGATACTTATCTCTCTAACAGTACTGGACATGATGATAAAGTAATCAAAGCATTATTTATTTTTTTTAAAGTGAATGGAATGACTTCACTAATGCCCACTGTCAGCGAGGCTGTTGAACATTAACTCATCATTCTGAAAAACCAAAGGCTCAGCCTAAAATCATCCCCCTGCCTTTGTTCTACAGTAGAATGAATGCACTGTTGGCTGTTAAATGTGTTTTAATTCAAATGTGTTTGCTACTAGGACAGAAAAAAAAAATACAGGAGGTTGGGTTTTTTGCATTGCTGAGGGCCATGGATCCTATTTAATACATTTCAAGATGATATGCAAGAGAGAAGTGAGTCCTTCCAAGCTCCTAGCTGTGCCTGTAGATGTAAGAATGCATTTCCTATTGTTTTCCCCTCTCTCCCTTACTATGATGAGGACAGATCTCTTGGTAGGTAGCGCACACAAGCAATCAGACTGTCAGGCTGAATAGCTGTACAAAGGCAGTGCCTTTATAAAGTATGGCAACCATATATGAGCTTACCTGAAGTTTTTTTTCAAGGCAGTTTCTTACCTAGGTTTCCCACCAAGACCTTAGCTCACAAATCTTTATTCTCTCCCCTGCCTTAAGCAAAGAGATCAATTTGGTTTGCGTTCTCGGCACAGTAGTGAGAACAGGAATTTTTTTTTTTTTTTTTTTTTTTGGCCACTTCTAAAAGGTCAGATGTTTTTGCTGACGTTAAAGGTGTTACGAGGTCAAATAAATGAATGAATGCTCATGAAAAGCTTTTCCAGAAAGCTGCACGCAGCAGATAATTTATGTGTGAGTGTGTGTGTTCCATTTCTGCATTAGATAAATGCAGTTGTAGTATTTCCTGTTTTACTCATTGTTCTAGAGCATTGATGCTTGGGAGGTCTGGACAGAGGGGTCAGCAAACAACAGATTAAGGAATTGCTCTTATATTATTCTGGTTGGGTATGGTTTATGTCTCCATTTGGCTTCGAGGATGCTTTCTCCAGCTGTTGTGCTGCAGTGCTAGGCAGCTGATCAAAAAAGAAATGTTTGGCATGACAGTGTGGGAGGGAAGTAGTAAAACTGGTGGTTGGTATACTTACCTATCCGTGCTGAAGAAAAAGAGAGAGAGGGGATTGCACCATTTCATCATAAATCAATGAAATATCTAAGGTTTAGACACAGTCTGTTTTCTCATTCAGAAATCGGGTGAAGTGATTGCCAGTCCTTCTTGTGCTTTCCTCCAGATGGTCTGTCCAATGTAATCTGCTTCTTTCAGACAGGGCTCGGTGCTTTGCTTTGGAATCCAATTGCATTTGGCCCCAGAAAGAACACACTTAGTCTCCTGCTTCCGTGCACTTGGAGGACAAGGCACATGGCTCACAAATTCCAGGCTCCAAGATCTGTTAGGGCTGGGATATGGCATATCAGCTGCTGAATCAGGGGCTTGGAATTTGGGGACGGTTCTGTTGTCTTGTGACTGTAGAGGTTGGCTCTTGGTTAGTTCAGGAAGGCTGGGGTATGTTGCTATTCCTTACATCTCACGGGCAGAAAATAAGGAAGGATTCTGCTTTGGTTTGCATGTTGTTTCTGCCCTGTTGCAAACTTAGGGTTCAGTCCTCAAAGTGCTCCTCAGCTCGGAGGGGAAAAACAATGCTGTCTAACAAAACTCACTCAGTTCTGGCAAAATTCTGGTGCATATGGAGAACTGGGGCAGGGTACAAAGACTGCCTGATTTCTCTTACTTCTCCGATTAGTGTAAAAGACAAATCTTGCTGAAATGCAGCTGTGTACCAGTTAGTGCACAGGCAGTCTGCTTAGCTACAGGTTGGCCAGATAAATTCCTGGCAAGACCCCTTTTGACTGAACAAGAGGAGGTTTAGTTCCTTACAAGCTGGGAAGTGAGCCCTTCCGTGTCAGGACGGGTCTTCCAAAGCTCTCACTGTAACTTTAATTGGAAAAGGTTAATCTGATTAGTTAGTGTTTGCAAAGAGCTTTAGGGATGAAAAGTGCTATGTAAGTGCTGACTGTTATGATCATGATAGATATGCTTTATCAGCAGTTTGTGGGATGAGTAAGACTTTTTTTTTTTTTCCCCATTTGACTGTAAGAGAGCTGCCTTCTGGAGAGCAGAAGAAAATTATTTCAGAAAAAGGAGAAAACGCGTATCCTGTTGCCTGACTGGTGTCTGTCTCCTGTTGAGCACTGTGCATGGTCGTAGTATTTATGGACCTTTGCACCAAATGATGCCCGTGTGAGCCTGCGACAGCCCTCTGGTATAGTGCTCGTAGGAGCTGTGTACTGGAAAGCTTGCAGATAGCGTGCCGGGCTGTCAGGGATTGTCCAGCTGGCAGTAGGTTCAGTGGGTGACGTTTTCAGAAACGCTAAAGCAGCTTGGATACCTTGAATCTTCTTTTTCAACAATGCCAGGAAGACTTAGGAGCAGAAGTGTTGGAGACAGGCGTTTCCATAAATGGTACTTTGGTACTTAAGCATCGAGGTTTTTTTGCAGATCTCACCGTTTGATGGTGATCACACACGAGGCTTTCCAGCAAACAGCAGTAGTGGACTCCCAGTCTGATTTTTGTTGTTGTTTTCAAGAATGACTTGGACAGTTTTGCCCTGGTGAGATACATGTGACCAGTGCTAACACTGGGCAGAAGAGATCATCTAAATGGGATGCTTAAGAGTTCTGCAGGATTGATTCCTCCAACAATTTTCTTGGGCCCCCCTTTTGGTTCCCCGATTGACTTTCTGATTTCCATCCCACTGTTCTGACAGTTTCCCCTTTACCAAGCCAGAGAGATGTATATAGAACAGCTCCAGCCCAGCCGTTCTCTGCAGCATACCTTGAGCCAGGTGTGTGGCTGGTGCTTTTTCTGGAAAGGTGCATCCTGCTGAGCAGCAGCAGAACCATCTTAGCCCACAAACGCCAGGGAGCTATTTTAGCAGTGTAGCAGCGTGGTGACCTGGGCTGGCTTTATTCTAACCTGGAAGATTATCAGCTGTGCTTCAGGCAAGTTGCTCATACCGACTTAGAGACCAGCTCTTAAGCTCTTGTACTTTTCTGTTTTGTCCACTTCAGAAACTTCCATTGCAGGTCAGGTGTGGGGGGTTTATTCCTTGATTTTCAGTTGGGGTTTTTTTGAGGGGGGGGGGGTGTGGTGGTGGTGGTATTGTTCCAGTGTTTGCTACACAAAGTGCAGACTTAGAAACTGAGCAAAATCACATGTTTTATGGAAAGGAAAATCCTCATGGGAGGAGCAGCCAGAGTTCATGATTAATTTCTAGAGCATGCATGCACGCCATGTATCAGGGAGGGAGGGGAGCTGCTTCCTTTATGCTACATCCATTCTCAAAAGGAACATTTGTAGCTGGTAAGGCTTATAGATGTAGGATCTGAAAAACTGGTTTCTGCCAACAAAAAGAGACCCAGACTTGAGCTGCCTTGCAGGTTCTGTCAGATGATACTGGATTGTAAAAAGGTGTTTCCGTCCTGAATAGGGTTTTTAACAGTCTCTTGCTATCAAGAATAGTCATCAGAGGCTGCTCCTCGCTTTGGCTGCTGTCAGATGTTCTGAGTAAAAAAAAATAAAATACTAGAGTGCCATTTATAGAGTAGCTTCTACCTTCAGAGCTTGCAGGGAGTTAGAAAGAAGAGTGTAATGAAGTAATCCTTCATTTCCCATGTGGAAACCAGGGCAGAATGGAGAGAAGAACTGGTTTGGTGACTTGTGCCCTTTCCTGGTGGCTGAGGAAACGCATGTCCAGCTCCCAGCCTTCCCACTGGCCTCTGGGGTGTCACATCAGTGAGTCACACAGGCCTGTAGCTGGCAGGTCTGACTCTGGGTCCTGACTTTCTAGCTAACAGAGCCTGGCTTCTCCAGGGGCTGGTGCTGAGCTGGACCTTAACGTGTGCGGTTCCCCAGAGGCGTCTGGGAGATGAGGCTTGATGAAAATCACCTTCTGAGCATCTTTGTACCTCTGTAGTCATTTCCAAACCCATTAAGTGTTGGAAGAATGAATAGAGATTGTGAGCGTTGGAGCGATAGGAAGATGGTAGATAACAGAAGTGGGAAGATGCGAGAGCAGTCAGCAAGTTAGTGGCTGAGCTGTGAATAAAAATCTGTTCTCCTTGATCTAATCTGCAGACATCACACCCGTCTCCTGGCTGCTCTGGCTCTTCCCTGCTCTCTCCATCAAACCAGAGATCGCCCCATGGGCTAGGAGACCGTTGTTGCCTGTGTGTGAGCTGAGTGTTCTGTCTGTGTTCTTTTTTGAACTTCAGGTTTGTGTGAAATCCCCCATTCCCTCTGCCCGAATCTCTTCCTCTGAAGTGGTCACCAGCGTGTGGAGCCTGCCCCACACCCATCACCTGCCAAACCACGGCCTTTACCTGTGTCTTCCGGTGTTTCCCGTGCGACCCGTCCTGTGGGAGTGCCTCCTGGGCCACCCCGGAGTTCACACAGCGCTCAGTGGCTCCAATGGTGAAGATGACAAGGTCCAAGACTTTCCAGGCATATCTGCCTTCGTGCCACAGGACCTACAGCTGCATTCACTGCAGGGCTCATCTTGCCAACCACGATGAGCTCATTTCCAAGGTACGTGCATGACCTCACCCGCAGGTGCTGGGCAGACGCCTCCTCCCCGGGGAGCGGAAGGGTGCGTTCGCTCACTCTGCAGGTCAGTTGCTGTGGAAGTGCCCAGCCTTAACCAGGACCACAGTTTTTGCTTGGAAAATGGGCTCTCAGCCTAAACAATCTAGTTGTGAGCTGCCGGTTTTGTTTTTGAAAATAGCTGTAGGGGATAGGTTTCCGAATTCGGGTCTCTGGAGTGCTTACAGGTGGTCCGTCTCTTCCTGTGATACAACCTCCTCCCTCTCATTTCCAGCTGTAAAACTGCACTAACTGATGGCCAGGACTGTGCAAATTACCTTCCTGATACTTCTTGTTAGTCTACATGCTTGTCAGCATAGCCAGAGGGTTGTTACATGATCAGGATTGGGAGGCAGAGTGTCTGGAGATGTTCTCCCTGTTAAACTGAGCTGTACAGAGCAACTACACTAAAGCCCCTACTTAAGGGAAGGTTTTCTGATGCTTCTACCAAAACGTAAGACAGGTTTCCAAAGACTGATGAGTTGTTATTCAAACCTTCGTATTTTTGCCAGTCTACTAACAAGACGCTTCACAGTGAGAAAGCAAGGGGTGGCTGGTAGGATGTGCTCTCAGCTGGGGAGGGTGGAAGGATTCTGTCCTGTCTTCTGATCTGTTGATCGCAAGGGGGAAGGGTCTTGAGGTTAAGCTGAATGAAAAGTTTTCAGAGCCAGTAAGTCAGGGACCTTTGCAGAGGGAGCGTGCCAGTAAGAGGATCTTTCTGAAGTGCGAAAACTAAACTTTCTCAGGGTGTCTGTGGAAGCCTGCAGTGCCTGGCTGTGGTCAGGCATCAAGTTTCCAGGTTTTGGCTGCCTTGGCAATCAACTGTTCCATAAAATTTATGCAGCTTATAAAATTTGCGTTCAGAAAAAACAGACACACCGTAAGATTTATTAGCTGAGATGAGAGGAAATTGCACTGTGAGCTCTGTGTGTGTGTGGGCGCCCAACTTAAACTGGATCAGCTTCTTGGAGCGGCTTTGAGAGAAAGGCCAGGATCACAAGGGGCAGAGGAGCTCTGCCCGTTAGAAAATGTGTAGTGCTTCCCCTCTTCCTGTTTGCCCAGATAAGATTAGAACATGTCACCTTGCACCAAAGGCATCTGTCCCTACAGGGTTGACATCTTAACAGCTGTGGAGGCATGTTTGGATTCTGGTGTTGGGTTCTCAGACCTGTCTTTTTTCTGTTGGAGGCTGTCTCCTTCCTTTTTCTCTTGGTTGTTGCATGGGCTAGGCTGATGTGTACCTCTGTGATGTTGTCTCCACACCAAACAATTGGATTTAAGTATCGTGGTCTGAATAATGCTGATTGCAGACTGCTACATTTTTGGGGGTTGCAGTTTCTGAATAGACAGGTTTGCTACTAGGCTGTCGCCTCCAAGTCATTGTGGGCCTCATGGGGGCTTCTCTTGCTCTGGTCCAGTTGCAGTGGTTCTTAGCAGAGCTGTCCCCGAGAACTGTCAAAGCCTCGAGCTTTTAAAGAGGAGAAGGTTGTACATTTCCTCAACAGAAAGAGATTTTTCAAATGTAAATGTCAACAGCAGTCTGTGCCCGGCTCTGGATGTGAAATACATTCAACCTCTTGGCTCAGCTCTGTGTCCTTAGGCTCCTGTGCTCAGTTGATAGACCTCTAAAATGGGGTAGTTGCTCCCCTGCCTTTCCTTTGGGAGAGTTGTTACCAGCTGGATTTTGTGTTGGGACACAAGGTGCTTTACTGGATAAAGAAGGAGGCTTGTTTTACTTGCTGTTTTTATGGTAGTTTTTTTTTTTTTTTTTTTTTTTTTTTTTTTTTGACATAGCTGATCCCCAGCCAGGGAAAACACGAGGCTATGCATGCCCAGTGGTTTCACCTTTGACACTTCCTTCCCTTCCATGTCCATGCTCCTTCTGCTCCGCTGTGCGATACAGCCGGCTTTGCAGGTAAGTAGCTTCCAGCAGGGTAATACCAGTGCTGCAGACTGCTTGGAATTTGAGCTTCTAGCTGTCGAGGCACGCAGAAACTGCCCAGGAATGCTGACTGCTAAAATATGGACATGAGAGGGAAGGTATGAAAGCACAATATAAGTCTGTGTGTATTAAGTCATGGAAGTATTAACTACAGCGTGCTGCGGCGCTTGTATCTGCTCGTTCTCAAAGTTCATTGTAGACTGTGGTGTAAATTAGTGCTGGGACTGCATTGCTGGTGGAGCACTAGCGGGTCATGCAACTTGAATGCAAAGGGTTTGGGGTTTTAGGTTTTATTTCCCAGAGTTATAAACCCTAATAAGATGTATTATTTGTATAATTGTAAACCTTATAAAAGTAATTGTGCAATCGTAATTTGTTCAACTTGGCTGGTAAACTGAGAACAGAAGGGCAGTCCCTGCCTCAAGGGGTTTCCAATATGCGTAGAAACTTTCCCAGGCAAACTTAAATAGTCATCTTTTTATCTGTTTGAGTTAGGTTTTAAACGTCTCCCCGAGGCCTTCTGCAGATCTTTCATCACAGCCGTATATTAGCATCTGAGAACCAGGCGGTGCAATTGCTGCGCTTGTTTTCCGTATGAAAATGTGGCGAACGGAAGGAAGAAACAAGTGCCGTGAGGATTGAAAAGGGAGTGGGAGATTTTGTCAAACCAGAGCGTTTCTCAGTCTGCAGTGTATCCCATCTTGAACCTGACTATGTCACTTTAATCAAAACAGCCCAAATGACACCATCTTTGGAAACGTTCCGCAGAAAACAGGCTTTTATGTAACAGCAGGGTGTTGGTGATTTGGCTTGATGAAATTAATTCCTCTATTCCTCTTGCCCCAAGTTGTGCAGAGACCACACGAGAGCTGTGCTGCTTTGCATGCCATGAGCTTTTAGCTCCTTTGGATACATACAAATTGCAGCACTGGCTCATGCCTTTGGCTGAAACACAAACTGGAGCTGAATTCCAGTATTGTTCTGTGTCAGTCTTTATTTCCTCTTCATCTCCAAGTTTCCTCCCTTAGCCCTTCAGCACCAGTGTTAATTTACTCTGACTTCAAAGTGTTTTGCCAGGGCTGGGTATCTGAAACTCTTTGACAAATATGCCTTGGCAGGGCAGTTTTTGCTTTCTTTTCTACTTAAGAAAACCTTGTGCATTAAAATGGGTAGAAGGTTTCTCAATAAGCCATTGCTATTTAAAGGAAATAATCGATGCTGAGGCTTTTAAGAAAATCCAAAGCTGTTACATGAAGCCAGTTACCAAAATGTTGCCTGCTTACTTGGCCTTTTATCTTCTGCAGCCAGAGGGAGAAAGTGGTTTAGTATGTCTGATTTGTAATAAGATCTGAATTGCGGGTTGGATTGTCTGGCCAAGAAAGGTCTATTTACTTAGGAAATATAAGGTGATCAGATAGACTGGGTGGAGTAACTAGTTTTCCTTTATATGTTCCTTTGGTGTCTGGGTTAGCATGAGTGGAGATTCTCACTCCCTTGTAGCAATGCATCATTTCAAAATCTGTGCCAAATTTAGTACATACTCTTGTTTCGTGGCTTTTTTCCGATGCCTAAGTGGCCTGAGACTTTGGGAACTCAACCTTGCCCTGCAACAGATTCCTTTGTGACCTTGAGTCAGTCACTTAATGTCTTTGTTCCTCTTTTCCCTACCTGTACAATTGAAATGCTGCTGTTCCGTCCAGGCTGCTTGGAAGATGAAGCTTTGCAGCAGGTACTGCCTGCTCTTGTGAATTAGTACAGTGTGTTCTAATCATCTTTGGCTTTACTGTAAAAACAAAAATACCATGCCAGGCGACTGTAGTTAAAAAACATATTTCAATGCCTTCCAATTGCCAAAAAGCCAGTGAAAGATACGTGTTGTTACATTTATCCTTCCCAGGCAAAACATCCCATGATTTTTAGAATGTTTAAGAAAAATAAGGATTTTTGATAATCAACAAAACCTCTCCAGGAAGGAGAAATGTGCCTTCCACATCATCTTCTAGTGGGGCCTGGGGGAACAGCTAATACAACAGACATTCAGCAGTGTAAATAGCATCTTTTCTCTTCCTCAAAGAGGCAGATGTGATGCTGGTTTCTACCTACTCTGTGCTATTAAAATTCTTTGTCAGCCTTTTCTGTTTGAATTCATATATACCTGGTACCCAGTAAAAAAGGATGGGAACAAGAGCAGAGAGATGCAGGCTGAACACAGCCAAGTTAGTGTCTTGGTTGCTGTCTTTTTTTGCTATGTGAACAGTAATTCAGCAGAAATGTCCCTGATTATGGAAATATGTAGAGAATGTCTTGTGGGCGTCCTGCAGTTTCTTTTTTTCATGAATTACTGTGATCCAACTGCTAAACATTATGCAGTGATGTATCCTCTGAAGTTAGCCTAAGGCTTGCTGAGGAAGTTTAATATTTTTCCTTTGATGTCTGCATGGGACTCTTACTGAACGCAAATGTGAAATTCTTCAACACAAAAGGCTGCAGCTCCTCCAGCACAGAGAATTTAGATAAAACCAAAGACTTTGTGTGTGCTTGACTTTCCCAATTGAGGTTGGATTGTTAGCTAGGGAACACTTAGAAGCTCTCTTTTTCTATCTTCCCAGGCAGGAGTTGCAAGGTTTGTAAGCAAACCTCCCTCCCAGTCACTGGCCTAGCTGCTTCCCTGGCTAGCAGACTGCTGGAGCCTGAGCGTGTTGGTACAACAGCCTCTTGGAGAGCTTTGTGACACACTGAAAGCATCAAACTTTGCTCCATGTTGCAACTGGGGGATCTTAAAAGGATTTGAAACTTTGATGCTGGCCTTCAGATAAGTTGTGGATGAATTCAGCTACTTTGAAGCCCTTGATGAACTGTGTATCGGTGAAGTCAGCAGCAATTGTTGTGTGTTTTCTTTTTTCTTTCTGAGTAAGTGGGCAAGGCAGTGTGTAATGTTCTTAGTGCTTTACTTCTCATGAACCAGCTGATATTTGTATGTCAGTTCATCTGGAAGATAAGAAGT